TATTTTTTTTACATGTGTTGTGACAATGGAAAACAATGGATATTTAATTTATGTATGTGTGTACACATGCTGAATACTGCATGTTGTAAAATACTTTTCTTCCCATGTATATCAGACAATCCCTGGTGTACATTATCCATACCTTGATGACTGTTCAACTAAAGATTAAGCCAACACTGAACATACTTGTCTTCTTTTTGTCAACATTTTCAAGAGATATAATGGGAGTTAAGTGCACCCAAGAGGATGATCTGTGAGCCCTGCACGAGTTAGAAATGAGTTGGATAACTCCAGGTGGACTTAGTGGGCAAAACAAAACATTTGATGTGCGGCTTTGATCTATTATATTAGGCTTTATTCCTTTTCAAACCCCAGTTTCTAATACACAGATTTTAAGAGCAAGCATGGCTTTGTCCAATTGTACAAAGCTAATGTAACTCATTTATTGATCAAAGCTGTCTTTTTATGGTTTATGTTATAGACAGCAAATCATTTCTTCCGTATTAAGTTTAAGAGGTGGTTATTTTTTTAATCTTTTGTTGCTTTTGGATTCCTTTTAGCATGCTCGGTGAGTTTGATGCTAGATAGGCTGCCTCTTATTTCCTGAAGCAGCCTCTATTTGCTCAGTTAGAAGCAATACCCACAGGGGACAATCAAGCACCTTTTTAGTTTATATCCCATGAAATCAGAAGCTCCAGCTAGTTTCTCAGAACACATGGCTTCTCTAGTTTCTGGCTTCTCCTTTTTTCTTAATCCCATAGAATTCTGATTCCCAGTCGCTATTGTAAGACCCACCTTTATTGTGTTTATTTGTAGATGCAACAATTCTAAACTTAAACATAGTCATGCTCTAATTACTTAGGTAATTTCTCTCTGCCAAAGGAAACCCTAGTTAACATTACTACCTCTAAATCAGGGGTATCAAACTCATGTCATGGCGGCATCACGTGATTCATCGGGACTTTTTCTCTCTTTGCTAAACTAGGCGTGGGCGTGGCCAGCACATGAAGCATCCAGCACAGGCCGAGAATTTGACAGCTCTGCTCTAAATGGAGCAATTCAGTGGCAAAATTAGTATCAACTATTTTTTTTATTTTGCTAGCATATGCTTGTTGAGTATTAGTTGGCTCAATAATAATTTGTGAATAAAATGCAGCTCTGACAATCAGCATCAGTAATTCATGTCATTATAACAAGGGCTTAGAGTTTTGCAAAAATAAGTGAGGTTTGTTTATAGCTATTTCTGAGATAAACCCCTCTGGCATTCCTTATGTCAAATTGTCTTATTTGGGAGAGGAAAATATGGTCCACTTGCCAGTGAATTTTTCATCTGCTTTCTGTCTGACTTCCTGCCCTAAATGCAAGCCGAATGAGCAAAATGTTATACATGCAGAGGAAATCTGTGATTAGGAGAACTATTTCCTCTCCTATACCTGTGATTCTTTCTTGTTAATCCTTTCATTATATTGCTCTCAGAAATTTTCATTCCAATCAGCATAGTCTTTTTGCTTAGTCAGCTGTGGCCTTGGAGATAGAAATAGTTGCCCTGCCCCTCGGATCATTGACTGTTAATCATTGTGAGATCCTGGCTGTGATCCCAGGGCAAAAGCTGCTACCAGTCTGGTAGATTGTGTGCTGAAAAAGCACACGCTACCATCAGCAGCATCACCAACTGTTATCCAGTTTTTCCACATTAGTGTACCAGTACATCTAAGTCAGAAATAAAAAAAAATAAAGTCAAATTATCAAAACCAAGAGTGCAGTGAACATTGCAAAGTGATTGCAAAGACATTGCATGTGACATTTTGGCTTATTTTCAGATTACAGTGCTTTAATACCCAATGCCATATTTGTACTCTCCTAAATGATTTGGAAGAAATATTTAATAATATAAATGAATTGTCATATTATGTAGGCTGTTTTAAAGATAAATCTGCTGCTTAGCTACTTAGCCAATAACTGTGACTAGCTTTGATTGGACGTTAGCTATTTCTATTTATTTGTTTGTTTAATTTGTATCCCACCTTTTATTATTTTTATGAACAACTTAAGGCAACAAACATCTCCAACACACCTTTCTACACCTATTTTCCCCACCACAATAAACTTGTGAGATGAGTTGGGTTGAAAGAGACTGATGGGGTCAAGGTCACCCAACTGGTTTTTGTGGCTAAGATGGGAATAGAACTCAGAGTCTTCTGCTATCTAGTTTGGTGCCTTAAACCAGCCCCCCCAATCTCTGGGATGCGGCCCACTAGTGGTATTTGCAACCAAACTGCGTAAATGGCAGGCAAGTATGCATGTGTACAGATGCATATCCAAGTTCGTAAGCAGTGCACACATGCTCCATATGCCCAAGCAATGGGAACACATTCTATAGGACAATAGAATAGACCAGTGGTGACCCAGTAACTAGAATGCAGTATTGCAGGCTAATTCTGCCCACAGTCTGGAGCTCAATCCTGACAGGGCTCAAGGTTGATTTAGCCTTCCATACTTGTAAAGTCGGTAAAATGAGGACTCAGATTGTTGGGGACAATTTGCTGATTTTTTTAAACTGCTCAGAGAGTGCTATAAAGCACTATGGAGCAGTATATAAGTCTTAAATATATAAGTCTAACTGCTATTGCTGTTTATTATATCATATTTTTCCTTATCTGGGTTGGGAGGGGTCTGACACCACCCTAAAATATATGTTCTTGGTATGAATGATGTAAGATTTGAGAGGGACATTTAGTTGAGATAAGTGGGTAGGGGAAGCTAAGATTCTTATATTTTTGTGCAATATGATCCAGCTGCAAAATTGGAGATCTTCAAAGGTGGTACTGTGCCAAAGTGAAGGGATAGGTTTCTCAACTGGGCAATTTACAGATGAAACAACCTTATTTAAGTCTCATCTAGCCGTTGTTATATTTTAGACACCCTTTCATTTTTCCAGTGTTTAATAACTGATGCATATGTTTATCTTTTTAATAGCCCGGGTTGTTTTACTTACCATCTTTATTTTTTGGTTTCTGCATTTTAGATTTAGAATTCCCATGAAAATAATTGAATAGCAGTGTCTAAAATAATTGAACAAATATTTGGAAGGCATGCCCACAAAGTCAATACATGAGATGCTCGGTTTGGTATACCCTGGAATAACCCTATGTTTGGAAACTATAACATTAATTTAGTTGAAAATAAAGTTAGTTGTAAGTGAAATCCTGCAACCAGCTAGTTAATACTAAAACAAAACATTCCTCTGTTTTTCTTTCTTCCAAAAATAAGGGTCAGATGAGGCAAAAGGCATCTGAATTGGAAACACACACCTCTGCCACTTCCATCTGTTGACATTGAGACTTCAAGGTTCTTGTCTCTTTCAAGATCAGTTTTGCAATTATGTTTGGAAATGCCTGTATATTCCACTCTTACATTTTTGGGAATTATCTTCACCTATTACCATAAGGAACACTGTTGCATTTTTGATAGTATATTTAAAATGGGCAAGCTGTATTTTAATTAGTATTTTACTTCATTTATTCCTCAGTCTAAACTTATTCCTCTTTTTATTATCATTATCAGTCATTAAAATAATATTTACCCAATGTTTCTTATGAGGAGAGCATTCTGATTCTTCTTAGGAATGGGAAAAATTCTACTGGTTTGGACTGGTTCAGCCAAACTGGTAGTAAAAAAAGCCAATGATCAGCTGAGAGGAGGAAAAACAAAGAAAAGTACAGGGTCGGCCCTCCCACCTGCCCCTGTGCTTTTCTTTATCTTCTCAGCTGATTGGCACTGCAGGTCTCAGCTAGTATGGAGAAAGCTGAGCATCGGTATTAGGCAAAGCATGCCCACTAAGCCATGCCCACCAAGCCATGCCCACCAAGCCATGCCCACTGGATTGGTAGTAAAACAATTTGAATCCCACCACTGGTGTCGACATGATTGGCTGGGGAATTCTGGGAGCTGAAATTCACTGGTCAAAGTTCCTGAGTTTGAGAAATGCTTATCTAACCTATCTGAAATATCACTGACAATATTTTCCAGTTGCACAGTTTACATAGTGAATTAAAGGCCAAAGAAGATTTATCATGTCTCCAAGAATGCAAGCCCTCAGGCTCCTGGTGCTGAAAGGAAGAGGCTAGGAGGAACGTGTGTGGGTTCTGATGGCCTCAATACCATTTGAAATGCTGCTTAGGAACCAGACAAGCCAAAACAAAACATACGTTTCAGTTTATGCTGTGACAGTTTTCCTCTAAAAGCATTGGCAGGATTGTGCAATGGCTCTAAAATCACATCATCTGTATTGACTTCTTTGAAATGAAGTTATCTTAGGGCAGAGCTGGAAAAGGTACCATTTTCAAGGCCTGATTTCATTTAAGTGGATTCTGTCAGCAAGGGTATAGGAGGAGTATGAGATGTATTTGCTCCTCATTTCTAATTTCTTATTTTCTATTGCATATAATCTCTTCCATGTACATGCACTCAAGGGTAGATGCTCTTTGAATGGTAACCACCCTATATATTATCCACATCAAACATTAACAATTGTTTCACATGTTGTCATTTCCAAAGCAGCACTGTATTTCATCTCTTACTTTCCCTGTTTACTCTTCCTATTCTCTGTTCTCCCAAACTCCATAAACAACTGTGTATATAAACATCAGGATTATAAATCTCATTCAGTAAAAGAATTTCTGGCCTGGAGATCCAGAGTATTTTACTTATTTTGATGGATAAGATTTTGTTTATTAAAATTAAGCAAATTGTTTCTGTCTTTTCCATCCCTCAAAGCAATCCTGCTTATTGTCACTGTCTCCTTCCCCCTCCATCCACTTCCATTCAGTTGCATTTATTTATTAAAACTTTCCCACAGGAACTCACTCCAGTCATCTAATGAAACAGATGTCATCCATGATTGATTTAACTTTTAAAGTGTCACAAAGCCCTCTGATTACCCATTTTTATTTCACATGATTTGCCTACTTATCCATTTTTCTCTTCTTCCCATCCACCAGGAGAACATTTGAGAATTTGCCCACAAGGTTATACTTGCTGTACTAGTGAAATGGAGGAGAACTTTGCCAACAAGAGCAGGAGTGAATTTGAAGGCATGTTGAAGGAGGCAACACGATCGGTACAAATAATCTTCACAGCCCAGTACAAGAACTTTGATGGTAAGGAATAAAGAATGTATATAGTTTGGAATGCTGGCTACCTTCGCATGAGATTTTTGTATCCATTTATTTTATACACTTTATTATAGTCGATTTAGAATGTAAATAGAAATTAATTGTCCAGGTCAGATGAACGAGCAGTAGTAGGTAAGCAAACAAAAAACAATTTTGGCCTAAAATTCCCCAACAAGGAATAAAATACGACAAAGCAGAGATAGATACTTTCTGTAATCTGATGACAATAGAAGTTGGAGTTGTTTTTCAGGCTAAACTTTAAGTGTGAAAGTCAAATATACATTGAAAGTTTTCTGACTGGTTACAGGAAATGATATACATACAAATATGTGCATCTCCATTTGCCACAGCCCAATTCAGAATTGGTTTAAACAGGATAGTAAATTTAAAATGTACTTGCAAAGGCTTATATATCTATCAAAACATGGAGTGTTAGAAAATATATATTTCATTGAAAAAATATTTCTTCCTGTGAATCAGTACTGACTTAATATCTTGACATATTAACTGAATTTGGCCTTTTTTTCATAATGTAAGACATTCATACAAATCTGTTTTCTTGTCCTGGATGAAAGTGGAAGAGTGTTCTTACCCAACAGATTGTGCTTGTAAAATATATTTTATATGATAATTAAATTTTCAAAAGCTGAACTATTGATTTTATCATTGAATTCCTGATTACAATTGTATTTTTTCTTATCTCTGTTTTTTCTTGTAGTTTAGAAAGTATTCTTTTTATTTCTTTCATTTATATTTCTTAAAATCTTACCTCAAACTTGTATACATTCGGAAGAACAAAATACTATTTTATCAAATGGTAAAACATCGTTCTGTCAGAGCTGTACATTCAAATAGGACCCCTAGGCCCATGAAGACATTTTCTAATCCCATCATGTTTTGTTTCTGTTTGCTTAACCACTGCTGCAGCTATAATTTGGCTTGTGATTCAAGTAAGTCAAATAATGTAATAGTACTTCATAAACAGATTTTTAGTGGCTAAGTTGGCAGAGCCATAATTTTCCTTCTTTACAGTCTGCTAGATACTTTAGATAGAAATAACTAGTTATTAGAAGAGGAATTTTGGACAAACACATGTATATAAACCAAGGGAAAAGTCTAGGCTAGTCCTTTTCTCTTTGACATATGATAAGTGTACTCAAAGAGTGGAAGGACGGCTAGAAGCCCAGATCTTCCATTAAGTATGAGTTTCCTCATCTGAGACTCTTGCATGGCAAGAAGAAGCCATTACAAATTCTTCTAAGTTACATTGTCTCTATCTCTTTGTCCTAAACCAGGGGTGTCAAACTCGAGGCCCACAGGCTGGATTCAGCCCATGGGATGCTTAGATCTGCCCTGTGGGCCTGTCCTGGAAACAGTGAAGAACCAGCCGGTGGTGCCTCTACCAGCGAAAACGGAGCTCAGGAAGGCCTCACACGCTGCCCTCCCAAGGTCCGTTTTCGCTGGCAGGAAGCTGTTGTGGCCTAAAATGGAGCCTTGATTAGTGACATTGACCTGGCCATGCCAATCCTGACCATGTCCATCCTGCCCCCCAAGCTCAAACACAACTCTGATGCGGCCCTCAAAGAAATCGAGTTTGACACTCCAGTCCTAAACATTTAGCACACGTTATCCCTTCAAGATTGTTGAGATCTAGAAATAGACTTCACAAGAAGATAGAATTGTGTTTTATTAAGATATTTTATTGAGGCTATAGTAACAGTCTTTCAGCTCTGTTTGTGATTTCCCTTCTGATTCTCTTATATCTCAAAGAATTAGGGAGGACTCCATTTGAGTTGCTTCTTAATACCTTCCCTTTTTCCAGGGCTCAAGGCATGCTTCTGCACATTTTATTGTTGACTGATTTCTTAACAGTTTTTTCCTAAGGTCATCTTCATGGTTTTCTATAGCATGGCGTATACATTGTCAGATTAGCAATCTAAGTTCTACCAATTACTTCCATAGTAGTCGCAATCTAGGTACAAAAGGCAATAAAATGGCTGCTTTAACCACACTGGAAACATTTTTTGGAGGTGGATTCCTCATAACATGGTTTAAAATACTAATCTACAAACAGCATTTAAGGAAAAAAATGTCTTCCAATTTTTTCTGTGATCTGTTTGCTCTTTTTATGGCACCTGCTTGGAAAAGCGATTGGAAAAGGAAAGGTTATTTAGCTAGTTTAGTTTTTCTTTGTGAGGCTAACTTTAGAATCCTATGACATTAAGCTTTAGAAATTCTGACAGTATGCGATTAGATTTTCCATGACAATGAATAATGGTTTCTTATATATATTTTTTCTTTTTCACATAATCTTCTTCACATATACTTCTTGAGCGGTTCATTTTAATAGCAATTAAGGCATACATAATTTACATAGCAATTAATACGGTATTAGCAGAAGCACGGAATGATCTTTTTTAAATATGTTAAGTCACAAATTGGAAGAAATTAATCAGATCACTGAATTTAACAGTTTAATCAGATCACTGAATTTAACAGTTTATCTCTGTAATGTTCAGTTAAAAAGGATGGCTGAGTAGATTTGATAGATAGACTGATGTAGGTTTATAATTTTTTGTAATTTAAATGAACACTTGGATTATGGGAATTCTGAGCAGTTGCTGTTTACCAAGCTTTCCTAATCACATGTTCAGTAAAACAAAAATGCTATTTTAAAATAAAAAAAATTAAAGTAAAATGCACTTTTTAAAATTTATCTCTCAAGCTTATATATCAGTTTAGTCCCAAGCAACTCTAAAGCAGTGCATTCCTTATATCAGTAAAAAGGGTGGAAACAACTTACAGCAATATCTTAACATGTTAAACTTTGTCAGTTCTATTGTGTGGGAAGAACATATAGTTAACCCTATATAATCACTTATGGGATGCATTGGGGGATAGATCTACATTCAGTCCCCAAAGATTTCCTAGAACAACCAGGTCTTAATAGTAACAGGTTAGGACCTGTCCTAATCCCTTGGGGAGTGAGGGGCAATTTTGTTCCAGAGGAAAGAGCCAGGTGCTTGCAGAAAGAAGCCAAATCTTATGTATCTGTTTTTTTGTTTGCTCCATTAAATTATATTTAGGTGCGGTGTGCTAACACATAAGCACAGATCAGGCTGTCAGATCCTGCTGTCAGATTCACATCACTGGTAGAACAGAGTTCAGTTTCATTTAGGTAGCGACTGTATTTTGATATCTCAGTTTCAAAGAAGTGTTTAATTTTCCCAGTCATTGTTCTACTTTTTGCTTTTGCTTTTTCATAGCTCTTTTTGGGTGGGGAAGCCTAGGTTTTTGCTCTGTGTACACAGGAGTAGCTGTACCTGTTCTCATCTTGCATGTACAGACATGAGTACAATGCCTTAGAAATGGAATGACATAGGATTTGCCACAGTGTTGTACTGCTACTATTGTGGATTCACAAAAAGCAACTCTAATATTGCCACTTACAATGGTAAAACCACCCTGACAATTAGAGATTACAAAATAATTTTCAAACATTATAAAATTTTCCTTTCCTGCTGGCAAATGTTTTCTGCCCACTAATGAAGTACTGGTAGAAATATTCATGAGGCTACAGACAGTTCTAAGCTTAATGCTTATGTTTTCCTAGAATGTGAACAAATTTGGAAAACTTCTTGAAAGTAATTCAGTATGCTCACTAAATACAATCACAAAGTTTCTACAGTATATGAAGCTGTAAATTAGTAAGAGAAACAATTATGCCCACTTTAAACACAAACAAACCCCTCTTCTTTCCTCAAAAATTTCAACAAAAAGTGCCAAGTGTGCCCTCTGCTGGTTATTGATCAGATCTTTTTATCTCAACTGTGCCATGTTCAACAATAAGCAATTCTTTCCATTTAAGAAGTAAATTATTTCAGTTGTACATGCACTGTCAAAAGCTTATTTGGAGATGTAAGTTATGGATGGATGAATGAATTGATGGACAAACAGATAGATGGACAGATGCCTAGCCACTGATATATAGGCAGAACTTTTCTAAAGTTTTGAAACTTCTTAATATTTGCAAGATGATACATTTCCAGTAAAATCTTATAATAACTTGTTTTTCATTTAAAATATGATCCAATTACCAACTGAAGGTTAAGACATTCAAAGAATGAAGAGACATTTCTTAATCCTCATTTTGACCCTAATTCATGGAACTACGCCTGTCTAGATGGCAGCACTTGATCAACCATCCCTGAGCTCAGATTACACAGCCCTGACCTTTATTAATAGTGGAATAAAGAATGATCCGGACTCTTACCAAGGTTGTTGGCCAGTGGGGGGTGGAGGAGGAGGAAGAGAAGCATTTCCAAGTTGTTGCTGAGAAACCTAGGTGGACAGGCCCATGAATTTTTTTTTAAAATGCTTATTCTAGGGACACTTTAGAATAGAATAGAATAGAATAGAATAGAATAGAATAGAATAGAATAGAATAGAATAGAATAGAATA